AAGTTTAACATACCAGATCCCTTGCGCTTGCAGTAGCGCGCGCTCGTGAAACAATCGCAATCGCGTCACGCAGTACACAGTACGCGTAGTTACCGCGTAGACTTACTCCTAGTGGAGTGGAGTGGAGTGGAGTGGAGTGGAGTGGAGTGGAGTGGAGTGGAGTGGAGTGGAGTGGAGTGGAGTGGAGTGGAGTGGAGTGGAGTGGAGTGGAGTGGAGTGGAGTGGAGTGGAGTGGAGTGGAGTGGAGTGGAGTGGAGTGGAGTGGAGTGGAGTGGAGTGGAGTGGAGTGGAGTGGAGTGGAGTGGAGTGGAGTGGAGTGGAGTGGAGTGGAGTGGAGTGGAGTGGAGTGGAGTGGAGTGGAGTGGAGTGGAGTGGAGTGGAGTGGAGTGGAGTGGAGTGGAGTGGAGTGGAGTGGAGTGGAGTGGAGTGGAGTGGAGTGGAGTGGAGTGGAGTGGAGTGGAGTGGAGTGGAGTGGAGTGGAGTGGAGTGGAGTGGAGTGGAGTGGAGTGGAGTGGAGTTTGTTCACATTCCCACAGATTGAATATTCTCACGACAGTCAGCGAGACTTTTAACTTATTCAATTAATAACAAGGAAGACGATATCAATATAAAACAATATATGCATGTACATATTACTGTCACGATGAAGCTTTATTATATCTCAACCACAATGATCAGCGCCCTGTTTGAGCTGCCATGATTTAAGATGCTGAACTTATATAAAATTAAAATTGTCAAACAATCGTCAATGATTTACAATCGTCAAAGGTTTGATTGTGCGACTGAATCATTTTCTCAACGATAATAGTTACACTTTTAACCAGCATGCGAAAATACAGTTACAATGGGTTTTGAAACTTCTCAAGAATTATAAACTTTTAAATTTAATTCTTTGATAAATGAAGGCAGACATGAGACCATGAGTCATTTATTGAAGTTTGATGTTTTGAACAGATACAGCTAGCTGTTTCGCAATTTGTAATGCTGTACATGGACAAACATTTGGATCCTAACCGAACTATAGTCTAGCAAATATTTAAACTCCCACATTTGTCCTTGACAATATTTATTTATTTGATAATTCAAGAATTTGATCGGCATCATCAAATTTTCTACGTCGACCCAGTTTGTCCGTCCAAATTAAAGTCCAGCTACCATGTGCGTTTAAAAAATCTTTCCGTCTATAATTAGGTCTCACCAAAATTATTTCCGTACACGTTATGTCCAAATAAGGTCCGATAAGGTAAGTCTGTCTCGTGACTAAGCACTAAGTAGATTGCATAGTTACTCAGTTTCAGTAGTGTTTTATTTTATACCTTAAATTTAGTCCGCCTCCACGAAAAGCCTTTTTTTAATTATTTTTAAATCAAACTTTTAATCTTATTTAAAACTAAATTGCTTGACACAAAGGATGGGAAACGTGAGACGAAACAGAAATTGAGAAATCCACTAACTATATTCATATACTCACGTGCGTCTATTAGCATGAAGTGGATTGTACGTCGTATGTCGTAAATCAACAATAGATATTTGCAATTTACCATCTCTCCAGTGATTTGCACGTTGAGCTGGACTCGGGAGTGTCACTAAGTAAGACCGTTTTAGAAGCAGTAATTTTATTTAAATCAAAACGTTATGGTGTCTAAACAAGCATTGTCTGGGAGCTTGTTAGAAACTACTCCCCATAATCAGTATCACGTGTCAAAATATAGAACTGTTTTTAATACATTTAATAAGATTCTACGCATATTTAGTATTTACCGTTGTTTATCCATCCATTATTTTCAAAAGTTGAGTGTTTCACGCCGTAAGAGTCGTAACTCTAACATAATTATCTTTTTGATAGTATATTCGATAATATCTCTGTCTATGAAAGAGTCTCACTGAAACATTAACGATTCCAATGGTGAATTGTGATACTCTGTATTTTACCGGTATTTTTGTAATAGTAACACAATTTGTATTAATAATACTAATAGGATCGTGTTCCCGAACACTTTTTCTTTCTCTTTTTTTCGAGACAATTCAGAAATTTTAAATCTAAGACTTAGAATTAGACCAGATTGAGAAGATGTCATCCTTTTCAGGATTACGCTTGACTGCAATTAAAACTTCACTTATACTCTCCCTTACCATTAATTGTAAATCAGCTGATAGAGTCACATCTTCTTTTACCTGATTCCTAACTCAGTAGCGCTGTTGTTACATAGTTACATATAGCGACACGGGATCCTTGTCGCAACATATAGTGGTGTCGTAATCACTAATAATATAATATACTAATGTTAAACGTACTACTATGAGGTAATATGCTAATATGCTAATATACTAATATACTAATGCAGATGGAATCACGAATTCTCTGAAACTTCTCCCGAACACTAACTCTGGTGTCCCTGTTAACCTGATATAATAGTGGTGCAAATATCTTGTTAACCTTGAAAACACACCGTAAATCTCGTGAATATAGTGTTAACCTTGCAAGTTGCAAATATCGTGTACTCAAATGTTTTGTTAGAAGACAAGCACGTCGTTACTCGTTATCTCTAATTCCGGGTGCTGCTTGATATTTCAGGGACTTTTCATTTCGAAAAAACACAAGCTATCGAGAGTTCACCAAACACAGTGTGTGGCAAATCATTTTGTAATTCTTGTTACAATCCTTATACAATTTGTATCGCAACCGTGTGGATGTTCTGTTTAGTTTGAAGCTCGAGAAAACGAGAACTTGTCTCCAGTCTCCATGTCAGGGTTAGAAGCTGGTCACGTGATATCCATGAGATAACAAGTCCAATCTAATTAGTGGTCCCTATTATGAAGCTTAGTCTTAACAGATACAGCCTACGTCTGCTTAATTATGTTATACAGGCTAATGCTATGCGAGTAGAACTTTGAATTTCGTTTATCCAGCATATCAATATGCTTTTGAACTTGATAGAAGTCAATTTTTTTCAGTAGAATAACCTATTCCCAATTTAATGTTACAACCATGTATTATGAGGGTTTTGCGGAAAGTTTTCCCGCCAAAAATTGTCACTAGAACAAATCAAGACAATGGTTTGGATCACAAGCTACCGCCGCGCAAACAGTTAACCGATAATTCTGTGATAGCTCGATCCTATTATAGCTATATTGTACCTCAACTGCGATATTATATCCTAGCGGATGTAATTTGGATGGAAGCTAGAATAAGAAAGGCACCTCCAAAACGTTCGAAAAGATCTTGATTTTTTGATCTTTACAATGAAATCTCAGTATAGTGGACCGATTTAGAATTGCTGGTTTTTCGATATATTCTATCACACCAGCAACACATTTATTAAAATATTCTTGCAGCTTCATTCCCAATCATCACAACATTCATTCGATAGACACAACTTCTCATCAACGCAGTAAAAACAATTCTCAACCACACAAAGAACTTCTATTCATGGTCTGGAAATTGTAAAACACCTTCATCAGAACTCCATGGCTTTCTCTCACACGATTGCACGTTTTGTCCAACATATTTAAAAAACAGTTTTACCATCTAAATTTTCTCCTTGATATCGGTTAAAAAATCTGGAATAACTTCAAGTTAAACCTCTCAAAACATGCAACAGGAGAGGTTAACCATCTTAACTTTACAACAAACCACACTGACTAGCCTAGTTAAAAAACCAATTATCATCACTTTTACAGTTCACTCTTTAAATGATAGATCTCCTCGGAGTTAATAATTGCCGATAGCTTCTATTCATCAAAACTTTCGCTGAAAACATGCTTGCCGACAATTGCTTGTTACCGGAGTTATCTATCGGTGTTCCTTTGTTTATTCGATAACGGTGCAAGGTGACCGATAGATATGTTTTTAATCAATAGTATTAGTTGTCAACGGGATTGTAAAACAGAAGATTGTTTTTGTCCATCAGATTTACGTTATGCTGGGCGGTGTTCAGCTTGCTTTACTGATCGATTGTGTTGCATTTTGTCAGGGATCATTTTAATAGTCATAACGTGAACCCAAATCGTTTATCAATTTAATCAATCAATATTTGGCTGTTTTCACCAAGTTTTGTGGCCCTTCACCCTTAAAATGTGTATCACCAGTCAGGCCAATTCTAATGTAAAATAATTTCCATAAAATTATACCGCAAAGCATCAAAACCTCAGTCCAGTCTAAAGATTAACAATTGGTGGTTTTTCAGAAACTGTCAGTAAGGTCAGCCGATCAGAATACACATACAAATTTATCCAAACGTCACCGAACCACTTTTTATCGATTTTATGGTCAAAAAACGTTTAGCAAAGTACATTCAGAGTTCCTAGCGTTTCGATCTGAAATCACAGAATTGTATGAATCTTCCACCAACTTCCTTTATTTTTTACTATTCGCTGAATTTTTCAAGCGGTATTCTTTTATGACTGCAAAGTTTCTTCTTTTTTGATTCGACTGTAAAATTTCCTCAAGAAAAAGTACAATCTTTGTAAGCACACTGCTCGCTTATTTCTATTGTTTGTTTACTATAAATATTCATTATAATAATTTGAATGAATCCAGCATTCACAAAAATTAGCTCGGTAGTAAGTCAGAACTGAACATGGCATGGAATGTCGCAAGTATATAAACGGAAAATATTCAAGTTGCCGAAACCTTCAGAGACTCTCACAGATGCAGAAATATGACAGCTGTGTCTGCATAATTTATTTACTTAATAGCATTGTTTTGCGTATTTCGCATATTTTGCCACTCGTGTTGCTTGTTTGTCTGAGGGCTGTTATTGAAAAAACTCATAAACATTTTCGGTTTTAACAATCAGATCCAGAATTGTTCATAGAAACAAATTGAGCAATTGATGTTTATAAATCTATGTTGAAATTAATACTTTTAAAGATCTAACAAATATTTATCGGACAAATTTATTCGTCGAAAAATGTCTGCTCCAAATTTGTTTTAATGCACTTTTATTTCCAAAATCTTTCTCAAAAATGTAATAAATATTAATTTCAAAACTGTCAGCTCCCCAAAATGAGCTCAAAGGATGGCAGCCAAATCAGCAAGGAGACGGGCAGTTCTAGTAGCAAGAAAGGGGGATCCTCCACTTCCAGCAGTATGGCCGAGGTAAGGCGGACTGGGGGATACCGGGCACGTATAGGGGAGGGGGCTGGGGGGCCGAGGGCCGGGGGTCGGGGGGCTGGGGGCCGGGTATTATTTTCACCTTAACCGTGCACAGCTCATTGATAGAAGATTAGTTGAGCTGCAGCTTGGTGGTATTATTATCTGTGGCCCGGTGGTTCACACTGATTGTGCATATTTTGTCTAGCACAATTAACATGTGGCTTTGCGGGAGTGCTACAATCACTAAGTAGCACTTTGTGGTTGTGTCTAGTGGCTGATCGCATTCTTCATACTTACTTCTTTACTAGTTACTATTAACTATTATTACAAGTTTGACTGGTTGCTTATCATGTAACTTCAGATTGTGGTAGAGATGCAACAAAAAGCATTGGAAGAGTATCGGAGGAGGCTGAGAGAAGGCCCATTTAAAAAACCAGACAAATCTGGTACTGAACAGGATCCAGCTGATGCTGATAAATCAGGAGAACAAGAAGGAGCTACCGATGGAAAAGAGGAGGATCTTCTGGCAAAGAGGCGGGCGGAAAGGGATGCTGCTCAAGGAAAAACTCCTGGTGATGGTGGTGCAGCTGGTGATGGATCTGGAGCTGGATCTGTGGGTGATGCTGAAGCTGGAGGTGATGCTGGTGGAGCCGGTGCTAGTGGTGCCGGTGATGGTGCTAGTGGTGCCGGTGATGGTGCTAGTGCTGGTGGTGCAGGTGCTGCAGGTAATGTCGGTGCTGTTGACGGTGCAGGTACTGATGCAGATGATGCTGAACAAGGAAAATGGGCTAGCGAAGGGAGGAGAGGTGGTAGACGAAGTGTCGGATTTAAGGGAACTCTTGATCCCATAGGTAACACTCGTTCATTACATAGGTAACACTCGTTCATTACATAGGTAACACTCGTTAATTACATAGGTAACACTCGTTCATTACATAGGTAACACTCGTTAATTACATAGGCAACACTCGTTAATTACATAGGTAACACTCGTTAATTACCTACATAGGTAACACTCGTTAATTACATAGGTAACACTCGTTCATTACATAGGTAACACTCGTTCATTACATAGGTGTAACACTCGTTAATTACATAGGTAACACTTGTTAATTAGATAGGTAACACTTGTTAATTACATAGGTAACACTCGTTAATTACAAGATTACTAAAATATTTAATAAAAAACCATTGAATTTGAAAGCACTCCACTTTTATAACGTCACACGTGCACTATAATTGAGTTTATCGACCGGTCCTCTTTAACTTTTTTTGTAGTAAAACGCTAATTAAAACTGAGTCAACATTCAGAGTCAGCATCGCGAACAAGAAAGAGTCCAACACAAAGAGAACAAACCCCTTATCAAGCAGAGGGTAAGTACGGTGTGGTGGTTCGGAATGTTGAATAAACAACTTTTCCTTACTTCAATGAAGTATAGAAATTAAAGAATGTGAGAATGTTAAGGTTTCCATATAATTCGAGAATGAAATGTCTCAACCTAATGTAATAACGAACGTGATTAGACAAAACGATTACAATTTAGGTTAGATTATTTTTTTAAAGCTCTTTAAACATAAACCCACCACAATTTTATCCATTTCCACTTTTACAAATAGTAATCGTTGACGTAAAACATCAAATACAAGAAGATATATATAATATATCTTCACTGCCATCAGCACTTTTAAAAGCGGTATATATTTGAAATTCAGATCGTACGCGTAGTAAAACAATGCATGTAAACTTGACACACGTCCACTTTCAATAGAGTATTATTTTCTCCTTACTTCACAGTTCATTGACTTTGGCCGACAAGTGACTTTGGCCGACAAGTTGTCGGCCAAAGTCACTTAAAACAGTCACTTAAAACAGTTGTCGGCGACAACTGTTTTAAAAGCGAATGAGAGTCGCTGAATTTTACGATTTGAACAATTGATGAGACCGTGCACCAATTAGTAAATTTATTTTTTCTTCATTGCAAGCTTAAATCTTGCCGAATGTCTCGATGAGACAGTTGCATGAGTTGGATAGTTCTTGTGCTAAGTTTCCGTTGTAGTAAATCTTGGTGTACCAGTGGTTTTCTCAAATTCTGAAACTCTCAAATTCATGATAAAATCCTGACATATTTTAAATAAACCACATTCAATACAGGGTCAGTAGCAGAACAATAAAATCATTCATAAAAAGCATTTTAAATAAATCAATGCACTCAGAAATGTCGACTTATCAAAACATTGGGTTACTAGCACTGCTAGGTATTATGTTTATGAAGATAAACAAGTCGAGCAAAATATTTAAATAAATCATGCTCAACTTAGTGACTCATACTTAGTCAGATGTGCTAATAAATCATATAATTTAACATTTAAAGTTTAACTGGCTACTTAAAACACGGACAGAGCATTTCATTAATGCGCTATCCGAATTTAGAAAATAAATAACGGGCCAATCTTTCATTTTTAGTTATTGCGGCCAGATGTCAAAAGTTTTGGGTAATCGGACCGAATCCTAAACACTAAATAACTACTAGTATAAGGAATCCGGATAGGGTTATGGTTACAGTTAGGGTAAGTCAAAGTGGTACTAATAGAGACTCGGTCTGGTAGTGATTTGGTCCGCCTACCATATTTTTGTAGTCTGGTTAAAAGATTGGACATATCTTGTTCCAAGTAATTAACCTGGTGTAACCCTAGTAAACATATTATTTTACATAGCAACCTGCTATTTTACATAGAAACCTGCTATTTTACATAGCAACCTGCTATTTTACATAGCAACCTGCTATACTTAAGTAAACCTTCTTAAATCCAACCAGCTTTACTTCACGCCAACTTGCCTCAAGCCTGACTGTTTTCAGGATTCCAATTTACCCCACCATCTGTAAGCGTGTTTCTCATTAATCTACCACATCTTGCAAAACTACTCGAGCAGCACAAGTTTCCAACCAATATCCCGACTACCTGACAATTTTCTACATTGTGTGCTCCAGCTTACGGATGGTTGTCATGGAAACACCTCGTTACCGAACTACAATTGTATTAGGACTCCTACTTTACTAATTTTGTAGTGTATATAATAGTGGTAAAGTGGTGTCGCTTTACATTTACCTGTTCTTGTTTACAGTGTGGTTATGGTTGATCAATGATGCAACATTTTATGCTGTGTGTTGTCCTTTGCGCTGCTGTTTAGTTTAAAATTAGTTTAAAATTCGATCGACAAGCTTCAGCTCCTCCATGGTGTTTCTGTAGAAAAACAATTACAATCAATGCTTGTAAATGATTAAAAACACGCGCTGAAGATGAAAAAGATTTACACATTTTTTACATAATAGGTATTATTCTCCTTTAACGTTCTCCAAGATTCAATAGAGATTTGCTCCGAACTAGCAGTGTTCTTTGAGAAGGAAATTATTAAGCTCGTTCTATTTTGGGTACCGTTATTGCTAGTCATACAGTTTCGGAACACTTGAACAACATCATCTCACTTTGAGAGGTTATGTAACCAATCATAATATCACCAGTACCCGCCAGATAACTATGTCAGACAAATCTGATCCACATCTCAACTCTTCCAAACGGGACACCTCTGATGGTAGCTCAACCACTTCAATCTACAGTGTCGCTCAGGAGGCTAAGAAGCGGGCCCTTTCTGCTTACAGAAAGACAATTCCCCCGATAGGGTTGGAGCAGCAGAATAAGGCTAAAACGGAGGTGATTTGGGCTGGTTCAAAAAAAGGCGGCTTGCTTGATCCTGACCAAGCAAAACCATCGACAGTAGCAGATTTTTTAGCTGATGATGATACCCTGGGTGAAGTTCCAAAAATGTTTGGTAATGTTATGTCAAAAGATGGGGGTAATAAGATTGATTCTACTTTGGAAGAGCAAGAAGAGGAGAAGGATCTTGGAGATCATCATTCGGTGTCCCCGTCACTTGAGAGGGACAAGCCCGAGGAGAAACAAAGCGGCTCTGGCATATTTTCTTCTAGTGGAGGTAATTTTGTTCATGTTACTGCAATTGCAAACTTTTTCTTTATCTTCGTTTTAAAAGCAGTAAATTGACTCCTACTTGCCATAACCATCGCACTTTTTACCACTGACATCATTCAATCCAACAAACAAAAAGCAAAAAGCAAAATCAATATTCTAACTGCGGATGAAATTATATTTTCAATTCTTCATTCTTGGTTAACGGGTGATACTCGTAAAATATTTGTTCCATATACCGTCGACGAGTCCAGAGTCCAACTCGGCGCGCGTCCTGGTAGGTTGTAAACCTACAACATTATTATATTGGCAGCTAGGCTATTAATTCCCTATTCATAATAATTGCATAAAATTGAATGACAACAAACACTTTGCTTTTAATATCATATACATATTGTTTGAATTGCACACACACAACAATGAACAACAAACAAAAACACAAAAATAAATGATTAAAATTTTGATTTTTTTATAATAGCCTAAAATCAAATTGTGTATATCAATTATCAATTATTAAATATGTACTGTGCGAGTGTGCGCGTACTCGATCGATTTTTTGGGCAAATTTCAATTGCAGCTCTATTTTATTTCATATGATTGATGAAAAATTTAATTATTTTAACTTATATTTAAAATTGGCAGCATGATATTTGGTTAAATTATTACAACATGCATGAATGCAAATCAATTTAGATAATCATTTGTAGCTTTACAACCTACCAGGACGCGCGCCGAGTTGGACTCGTCGACGTTCCAATATATGGAACAGATATTTTACGCATTACGAGTATCACCCGTTAAATAATCATTCGCGCGCGTTTTTATATTCGATACTATTCCTGACCAGCTCAATGCTCATTTGATAATCATGAAATATTTTTTAATGCTTGCATTCAATTTAATGTTTAAAAATTGAACAGTTTCGTAAAATGATTATATTGCACATTAATATGATAATGGAATTTTTACAAAAATTAAAGACTACGCGAACTATTGTAATTTATCTGATAATTAATTAAAAATTCACAACGGTAGCATGCTAGGCCGTACATAAACTGATAACTACAAAAAGTTAATGACGCCGCGCATAAAAACGAAGAATATAATATCCGCGCGCTTTAGTAAGTGCTGCTTTAAACGCTTGCGCAGTAAATAGTTGCTATGACTGTAATATGAACGATACGTACAAACGAAATTTTAAACTTTTGTTCAATCGTTTTATTGGACTGCTTGAAACCGCTACCCATCTGTAATTGGCTGCACATTCACGTGACTCAGCGACATGTCTGACAAAGATGAAACTGGAAAATCATCCGTTCAAGATAACGAGGAATCTCACACAGAGGGTAGTTTAGTTTCCTTGTCTTCCGTTGTTGACCAAGTCAAAGTTCGTGCTCTTGAAAATTATAGATCCAATTTGACATATAATAAAAGCATAATGGACGGCGATAAAATTTCCGGATCGTCTTCGAGTCGTGACGATTCCAAAGACCACGATTCTTCCGAAACACAGGGCATAGCTGATAGGGTAGCCAATACTTTGAATGAAGGAAAACTTACCAGCTCAGGTATCGGTGTGATTTCGTCCCAAATTCGGTAGCATATTTCAAAGCATCAGTCACTTCTACCACAGTTGAAATCATTATTTATGAAATATGTGGATACTTTTGGATAGCCTGATCGTAAAGACATAACATATCACTTTGTCTTAAACTTGGCTCATAGTTCATACTTCATATTTCATTCAATTCTTTGCTTTGTTTGGTCAAAAATAATCTTCCTTGTATTGCAAATTTATTGGTAGCTACCCGAAATGCAATGATCAGCCCATTATTGCATTGTTTATAAATACATTCATACAATAGAAAGAACTGATATTTACTATTGCAATAGTTTATTAGTTCTTTCTATATCCATATTTTGATACGAAAGAGTTTTTTAAATTTTAGCAGGAGCTTTTAAAATACACGTGTAAATCGTCTTCAGCTGCATACAATGTTTTTCTCAGGACATGCTTCTAAAAGTCCCACAAACCAACTGTTTTATCATCTGACGGTTAAATTTCTTCGTCCTTCCTATATCGAGAAGCTCACGTCCATCAATTAAAACTTAAATTTCCATAACATAGTTTTAAACTAATTACAACACTACAAATCTATTACATTTATTGAGAATTATATAGTGTAACGCGATGGAAGTATTTTAAGCGGGCATATCCTGTCCAAACCCAGGATGCACGACATAAAGAATTTGTTTTAACTTGTTTGACTGTTTGTATGAAAAGCATCAATATTCCATAAAATTTCCCACATGATATACTGATATATTAGCTATCTGTTAAGCAAATTTTTGATGATCTTCAAGGGAAAAAAGGGTTTGATTAATAAACCTGCATGAGTTCTAGAAACAGCTCAAACAGTATATTTACCTCCCTCTGAATGCAAAGCAGTGAAAACTAACAATAAAACCCCGACAGAGGCTCCAGAACGTTCTACGGTAGATACGAGCGCGGACAATGCACGGTACAGGTACACAGATGACGCGCTGGTTGACGAGGAGGAGGAGGAGGAAGAGGAGGAGATGGTCGTGCTGGACCCTGATCATGTGAGTTGTTAATCACGTGATAATGACTTATATTATCATATCTACTATCTAGTAATTGCCATGTGCAAATCAGTCTAGTTTAGGGAGTGAGAAAAACATGTATCTAAGTTAAAATCGTGTCAAAGTTTGAATCTATGCTTAAGTTTTAACCTTCTCAACACTTTAGTACTATATTTTGTAAAAAAACAACTGCTGCTGGCATGCACGAGCTTCAACTATAACTAGATATGATTACGCAATCCAGTAACAAAGTTATAACTTTCAGCCCTTGATGATAAGGATGCAAGAAGCACTTACGAAATACCTGTCGAAACAGTTGGACAAGTTGAACTTAGAGTTGAAAGAAAAGAGTCAGGAACTGAGGAAGTTGACTTCTGACAGGGAGGCGATTGGTGTGAACTTGTATGGGATTCAGCAACAACTTGCTAAACAGCAGGTTTCAGTCTAAGTTCACATATTAAATTATGTGGACATTTTAAAAACTTTTAAACATCCTCACTTTCGACTGCACACTTAGGGTACAACGAGAAAATCCCTTTTTTCATAGTCCAACAACATAAATGGTCTAGATAAATCCTCAACTTTTTAAACGTTGAGATATTTCCAGATGTTGCTGGAATCGGAGCACGATACACACGCTTCTGCTCGCCAAAAGCGTATCCAACTTGAGGATATAGCTAAACAAATAGAGCAGCTCCATGGCGCGACTGAGGCTGATCTCAAACTTCACTCTGAGAAAGGTTAGTAATGTTTTGCTGTAATGTATAAATGTTCATTTTCAATGTATAAATGTTCATTTTCGATGTATAAATGTTCATTTTCAATGTATAAAAATACATTTTGCTTCGTACAGTTTTTAGCTTGGAAGATTGATAATCATAGATAATCTATAGATCTATACAATAAAACAAAACAATGTACAATTTGTATACTATGTACAATGTACATTCAAATATACATTTTGTTGCAGTGAACTTAAAGTATGTTAACTACAATACACAATACAATACATACTTTACACTATACTTGCACAACACACTATTTAACACACATTTTCAGACGAGAAACTGCGAGCTGACGTTGAGGCACTGGACAACACACTGTACTATCTGACTCAGTTGGAGAAGAACATGCACAACGACATCAACATAACAAAACGTGCCGCTAGTAAAGCTATGGAAGACATCAACAAGGCAGAGTACAAGAAGTATCTTCAGGTAATTAACGTGCTAATTGGTTAATTGGTTAATAATTAGTCAATTAATTACAATTTGTCATATCTTTGAGTGATGAGGTAGAATATAATAAATAGAATTCGTATTACCAGTACTACTAGTACTATACTATTTCTTCTACTTAATGCCATTTTATCGTTCAACGTTTTTTTATTATCTAAACAACTTCTTTTACATAACTTACTTAATTAATAATAAACAATAATTTAATTGATCACATGACAGGATTTGTACGTTGACCGTACTGTAGAGCAAGTAGATAAGCTGACACAGGAAATAGCTATGTACGACGCTCAGGGTCAGGCTCAGAAACAAGAGACTGAAGGAATGCAAGGTATGTAATGCAAGGAATGCAAGGTATGTAATGCAAGGAATGCAAGGTATGTAATGCAAGGAATGCAAGGTATGTAATGCAAGGAATGCAAGGTATGTAATGCAAGGAATGCAAGGTATGTAATGCAAGGTATGTAATGCGAGGAATGCAAGGTATGTAATGCAAGGAATGCAAGGTATGTAATGCAAGGAATGCAAGGTATGTAATGCAAGGAATGCAAGGTATGTAATGCAAGGAATGCAAGGTATGTAATGCAAGGAATGCAAGGTATGTAATGCTAGGAATGCAAGGTATGTAATGCAAGGAATGCAAGGTATGTAATGCAAGGAATGCAAGGTATGTAATGCAAGGAATGCAAGGTATGTAATGCAAGGAATGCAAGGTATGTAATGCAAGGAATGCAAGGTATGTAATGCAAGGAATGCAAGGTTTGTAATGCAAGGTATGTAATGCAAGGAATGCAAGGTTTATATTAATTATTATACATTCTCAAAAGATTTTATCACAAGACATACCTTTGTTTCTAGTACTGAGCTGATTAATGATTTAATTGGTTATGATGATGTTATTGATAAATAAACCATTTAATTAAATATGATTTAATTAATTAATGAATTAATCATTTAATTAATTAATTATGTAATTTATCAGAGTTGTTATCTGAGGCCTCTCTGGAGTTGGAAGCAGTGTTGCTGGAGAAGAAGAAACTACTTCAGCAGTGGCAGACTAGTTTGATTGGAATGCAGAGGAGAGATGAAGCTAAAGCTGCCATGAACAAAGCTGTCGAGTAAGTCAATGTTTGTGATAATTTGTCAAAGTTTGTCCGTCATGTTTTCTCCTCTTAAGTTTAGCGATGGTAATGGATCAAATCTATTAAGTGTTATTTTATCTGAGAAAATATTATAAGTTTTATTGGCTAATCGTCTTCTTATCATCTGATTATCCTTCTAATTATCTAATTACCCTACTAATTATCTAATTATGCAGCTTACAACGAGAGAAAATTCAGTCGATGGAGACGGAACTGAACGGCTACAGAAAGAGCATAATAAATGAACAGCAACGTAATGAACAGCTGACAATGTTGCATAACAAGCTGTTGATGGATATGAGTACTGTGAAGAGACACATACAAACTAGTGTACAGAAGAGGGAACAGCTCAAAACTGATTATTCCAAGGTTTGCTTTAATCATAATTTAATTAACTGGTTAATAAATCTGAACCGTGATTGCTATCGTGATGGAATGTGAAAAAGTCAATTTGTTTTGAAATTTCGACGTCATAAATCAATTTCTCGATCTTATCGATGTTTGAGGGCCAGGTGATATATATATAATATATATATTGTTTATTTTTTAATACGTGCAATTATTTGCAAGGTGCTGAATTTGATAAAATTAATTAATTATTATTAATTAATTTCTTCAGTACGCTAAAGTCCTTCAAGAGTCAGAAGTGTCCCTTGCTAAGACTACTACAGAGAGGAATATAAAAATGAACCAAGTTACCAACATACGAACTCAGATTGAAAAGGAAGCTCGAGAACATCAGAAGGTTTTAAAATATTTAATTAATTTAATTTTAAGTTAGTATTAAAATATACTTATATACTTTATGTACACTGTACAGCTATCCCACACAGCTTGTAGTAGTAGTAGTATCCCATACTCACCTAGACAGTTAAGTAGACACGTACAGAAACCGTTTTAGTTTTTAAACATTTTCACATGTTACTGTCTTGTTATTTGGTTTTACTTATTTAAAACGAACGATCCTAATATAAACACTTAACCATTATAAAATAAACCACGCCACTAACATGATTGTTTCATTTTCAGGTACACGAGCAGATTTACGAGTACCACCAGAAGGGACTGACTATGGACAAGTCCGCTCAGTACAGTGAGAAGAATGCAGCCAAAACACGCAGACAAGCTCAGGTATTTGAAATATTTAATTTTGTAGAGAACATCTGACATTGTTACATAAACTTGATAGCTGATTTATATCGTATCATTTTGGAGATTTAACGTCAACAAGACAAAATTGGGCTGATTTTAGCCTGCATAAAAACAATGTAATCTACTGCTATAGTTTATACTGCTGCATAATACATATTATATATATAGTCAATACATTAATATACATATATAGTCAATAATCATAGATTTAAGATAATCATAAATTAATTTGTTATAATTATGATTAGGAGCTTGAATTTGAAGTAGCAAACGTGGAGAACGACATCAGTTTGAAGTTGCTGGAGATCTCCAAGTTTACTACAAAGATCAAGGGTTTAGATGAGGATTTGAAAAACCTGGATCAAGAAATTCGGGACAAGGCAAGTATTTACTGACTGTTGGATTGTTTTTTCAAGAAACTTATAAAATTTCTCTCTTAATTTCTCCCTGCAGAGTGGCAATTATTTGACCCTAATTCCAATACTACTTGTTAGTTAAATAGTTATACTTATAGAGGAATCATCACCACTCGTATTTATGTTATGTTACTAACTCCCATTTTAATGTTACCGTAACTCTCCTGCAGAACGATCTGATCAGCCATTGTGAATCTGAAGCAGTGCGAAAGAATGCCATCATCGAGCGGAAACAGGGCCAGATCGACCAGTTCAACAAGAAAATAGGTAATCCAAAATTCGCTTGATGAGACTCCATGAGACTCCATAAGACTTTTCCTTACGTTTTAGATACGACTAACAGGCTTGAACTCGTCGATTAGATAAGTATTCAGTCCCTTAAAGTTCATTCCAATAATTAATCTAATTAATAATACACACATTAAAGATTAGTAATTAATCTAATTAATTATACAAACATTAAAGATTAGTAATTAATCTAATTAATTATATAAATATTACAGATCAGCTTAACTCGAAGGAGGGTGGAGAAGAAGTTGGACCTCTGGAGCTGCAGATTACAACACTGCAGAAACAGATAAAGGATACAGAGGTGGAGAAGGAACAGTTGGAACAGTACTGGCTAAAGAAACAGAGTCATTTGGTTCGTAGGGTTATTTTTCTGTTGTTCGATTATTTGATTATTTCTGACATTTTATTTTAACGCCAGATTACCATCAATGATCGAAACGTTCGTATTTTGTACTTTTAGTGCAGGTGCCGTTCTGTGAGGAATAATACTGTCATTAATTTAATTAACTAACTTAACTAATAGATGTGGATACTGGTGGGGAGGTGAAACACATTTGTTTACGTTTTAGTGGCGCCTCTATTCAGCAGGTTGAAGAGGTGATACACATTTGTTTACGTTTTAAGTGGCGCCTCTATTCAGCAGGTTGAAGAGGTGATACACATTTTGTATTATAGAAGGCTTGTAACACTTGTAACGCTTTCTTGTTACCCCCCTTTGAAGGCCCCGAATTATTTTCTGAACGAAAGCTCAAAAATAACCGAGAAATCGACCTTCTTATTAACTCATTTTGATGACTTTTTCTGACCTAAAATTGCACGAAAAATCGATTTAGCTAGGTTTCAGAACCTATAAACACTTCCTTATCCCTCAAAATTGATGTTTTATAGTTGATACGAGCAACAAGCAACATATGTTTTGATCCTTCGGTTCTACTCATGACCTAGGCAGTTAAGCTGAAACCGAAAGAGCTAGGCAATCCTCACCTTAACTGATCAAACTGGTACTAACACAATTTTCAGATAGAAATGTTCTTTGCGATACGTTTATTGCAGCTTTGCAACTTGAGTGAAGACCAGAGTACGAACATCAATTTTGAGGGATAAGGAAGTGTTTATAGGTTCTGAAACCTAGCTAAATCGATTTTTCGTGCAATTTTAGGTCAGAAAAAGTCATCAAAATGAGTTAATAAGAAGGTCGATTTCTCGGTTATTTTTGAGCTTTCGTTCAGAAAATAATTCGGGGCCTTCAAAGGGGGGTAACAAGAAAGCGTTACAAGTGTTACAAGCCTTCTATAATACAAAATGTGTATCACCTCTTCAACCTGCTGAATAGAGGCGCCACTTAAAACGTAAACAAATGTGTATCACCTCTTCAACCTGCTGAATAGAGGCGCCACTAAAACGTAAACAAATGTGTTTCACCTCCCCACCAGTATCCACATCTATTATTTGATAAATTAATTACACCAGGTACAATTGTCATCACAAGCTCAAGCCCAGTGGACTGATGTGAACAAGATGAAGAAACAACATACCATTCTCCAGCAGAAGAAGATGAGAATTGACTCCGAGCTCGATACCACTGCCAGGTTTATAATTATACCACTGCCAGGTTTATAATTATACCACCGCCAGGTTTATAATAATACCACCGCCAGGTTTATAATAATACCACCGCCAGGTTTATAAT